GAGCGCTTCTCAAAGGACGAAATGTCGCCACGTTTGAATCAACCGTTTTGTGGTAGGTTTCAACAAATTTTAAACTAAAACAACACATGTTTGGTTTCGTCAGTTAAGTTTGCCCAACAAAATGACCAACCCTATATAATATCAATACCAAAAGGCTAATAAATTTTGAAAGTCTGCTCTGTCAATTGCATGCGACGGCATTTTATGAGATTTTGCTTTCCATTCGCCCAGTTGATTTTTAATTTTTATTTTTAAAATAAATTTTTCAGTAATATTTTTTTTTTTTTTGCATTCTTTCTTATCTTCTTTCGGCTCTGCCATGAACCATCGATAATTGGTGACATATATCATGTCACACAGATTTATATGCAAATAAATAAAATTTTTAAAAATGATATAAACATGCAAACACACACATAAGTGTGTGCATATTTTCCGTTATATGCAAAACGACGGCGTAAAATGATTTTCTACGCGCTTCCCCATGCAAATGCATTGGTTTTTAATTAAAATGTTCACGTGTCTTGTGACATGTTTTTTCCCCCTTCATTTCTCCCATTTCACATTGTGCCACATTGCATTGCGCTGTATGCAGTACATATGAGTATGTTGTCATTTCGCGAAGCTTTGTAATTAATTGTTTTCAATTTTAAAAATTCCATAAACGACACACACACACACACACACACACATGCAGGCACACAGAAGTGCTTGAGTACGTACACTGTAGGGAAAAATACTTGTTGTTAACTAGAGTCCAATTAGTTTATAATATTACAACAACCAGCTCATCTTCCAACTATTTGCCATGTAAGCAACTGGTATTTTTAACATCAACTTCAAACTAGTTAAATACCACTTCATATGTACCAGTTAAAAAGTGGTTCATTTATACCAGTCAACAACTAGTTCGCCGCAAAATCAATCGAATCCGAAAGTTTTTGTAGTTGCAAGTTATGAGGCTTGCTTTTTTTTGCAAAACGACAAACTGTTATGAAGTAGTCCGTAAAGTACTAGTTCATATACTAGAATTTTCGAAGACTAGTTAAACTAGTTTACCTTAACAAACTAGTATATTTTTGTCATTTTAGAAACTAGTATAATTCTGGCTTACAAAAAACCTATTGTGATTTCGTCTACAAAATACTAGTATTCAACTGGAATTTTCCCTACAGGGTATGTATGCATATATAATATGCTTGTTGTTGCTTCTGCTTTCGAATAAAAGCTACAATTGGACAGTTATTGAACGCTCTTGCCATGGCTCTTTCATTTGCTCGTGGAATGCTATATTATTTTATTGCCTATAATTTTTTATTGACAAATGTTTTCGCTATTGTATTGATTATCAGTTTAAAAGCTAGTTGAAACTAACGAAATATACACATACAAACATTTTATTATAAAATCTATATTTGTTGTGCAGAAATATTTTTTTATCGTTGCGGCGTCAGCGCTCGGAAGATACAGAGACTAGTCATATAAGAAATGCACTCGGAGAGCTTGAGATTGTCTCAACCGAGTGATCGACTGAACGACTACAAATAGCCCCATAAAAATAGTCCAGCGTTGTTAAATCGTACGATCGTGGAAGTCACGTCACAGTGCCGCGACCTGAGATAATGCGCTCACCAAAAGTTTCCTTCAAGAAATTGATTTTTTCGTTGACGGTGCGGCATGTAGCGCCAGCTTTGCGTTGAAATCGAAAGACATGCGCATAATAATCCTCCAAATCAGACACGAAAGAGTTATCAATCATGGCTTGAAAGCATTCTCTATTGACTGTAACATTATGACCTCAGGCGTTTTTGAAGAAATATGTACCAAAGATTCCCTCAGCCACACACGGACTACAACAAACCGTGAGTTGTTGAGAACGTAACGGCGGGCTAACAATGGTTTGTGGATTATCAACACTCCAAGTGCAACAATTGGGTTTGTTAACTTACCAACACAACTAAAAGTGCGCTTCATCCCTAGACGAAATTTTCTTTGAGAAAACCAGTGTCGGTGTGCAACTTGTTTTCAGTCCACTTACCGGGTGTTCGGCTTTAATTCTTGACCGAGTTGGATTCTGTAGGTCTGCAAATCAAGCCACATTTGCAAAATCTTCTATTTAGTGAGTGGGCATAGCTCTAAATTGTTCCACGCGTTGGCGCTTGGGCTCATTCGGGTCTCCCTCGTTACTTCGGGTATTGTGTACGGCTGCTCTGAGAATGCGCATAATCTTTTACAGTAAACGTGGTGCGAAACAGATGCATGTTTGCTCGCATTACCGACTATACTGGTCGAACTTGTCGACCAGATCATTATTTTGGTAATAAATTTGGACGATTTGTAAACGTTTTGACGTAGTAAATCTGTTCATTACCAAATGGCAAACCAAACTGGGCATAAATCGTTTAGCAGCTGTCAAAAATATCAACTCTTAGTTGAAAATCGTTAGTCTGAAAGAACACCCTTTATATTGCATGTCACAACAAGCCTAAAAAATAGGTAGATTGATTAGTTATAAATGTTTTGTTTGCATTTAAAAAAGCAGAAAAACATTTTTCAGACGTAAACAGCCCGAGGAGCACATAATAAAGCGAGCACACCCTCATACACACATACGTGTATGCACGAGTGTGTTTGTATGCATGTTATATACGCATGATTTTAGACAAAACCACGTTCATGTTAACATATGTTTGCGTAACCGTCCATCTCAATGTCCTACCTCCTGCCCAACAATGAGAACCTTGACCAAATTTTTCGGATTTTTTTTCGCTCTTAGTTTTGCTCCGCTTAGCATTTCATTATGCGGCGGAACGACATTCGATATGCTGTAAACACAGCCACACATACACACAAATGCGATGTGCTTTTAAATAAAATTTGCTGCTGATGTACAATACTTGCACAAACTCAGGCATGTACATACATACATACAATACATGCGAGTATGCATAAGGCCTTCATGTATTCACGTACTTTTTAGGCAAAAAAAAATAAAAATAAAACCAAACACAAAGTACATGTGTTTGTATGTACATATGTAGATTGAATAATGGTCAAAGTTCGAGCAAAACACCAGCCAACAACCGACAGTCAAAACAACCAACAAAGCGTGCAACCAAACCAGTCAGCCAGCCGGCCAACCGGTCAAGCGGCCAACCGGCCGGGTACCAGTGCCAAACAAGCAGCCTTGATTGTGTGCGCTGGTTGTTGGTCGCTGGTTAATGGCGGAGTAGTCGTCGGTTGAGCGACCCAAGTGTATGTACATTCACTTCAAGGCGATACTCACTTTATGAACGCAGCTACAACATCGACTTTCCTGTGCAGGAGAGATAAAGAGAGAGAAAGAGAGAGAGAGTGTGTGTGTGGTTGAAATTGACCAAAGATCAAGTAGTGATTGAACACCTGAATGTAGGTGTACAATAATTCTTGCCTGAAAGTTTATTGTGTTGGTGAAGCAGACTTTTTGGTCTCATCTAAACCGCAAATGAATTGCGATCGAATGGAAAACTTTTTAATTTGATTGTGGGAGCGATTTTTTAGTAAAATAAAGAGAAAGTACATTTGAGCGACTTTTCAACTCTTTTTTTAGAGTATAGAAAGAGAGCTACTTGTAAAGAACCGTTGTTCATCAGCGGCTCAGTGGATGCCCGTGAAAAGGTTTAAAACCTGCGAAGCTCCAGTGGACTCACTATTCAATTTACCGTGGGAACAGAGGAAAATATCGCAGCTGTATCCACTAGCTGGGAAAATTCAAGTAGGGTTTTCGTTGTGACACCGTTAAAAATATAGTTGGTGCAAGAATTTCAGCCGAACGAGCCCACCACAGCGCTTAATTTTTGGTGCAAAGTTGGTTGAAGATTTACTTTTTTTTTTTTTAACTGCCTCCACTACTGTCTGCTCTACTTGATAAGTTAGCGAGCGAAATTTCTAGACTTAGCATGAAGAGCAACCAGAAGCATTCACGAAAAAGCCACTGTTTGGTGTGGTTCATGAGCGGGTGGTATCACTGGGCCATATCTTTTTCGAAGACGACGAAGGCCGGAACATTAATGTGGATGGCCAGCTCTCTGAAAGCATTTCTCTTGCCTCTCTCTCCCACTCTCCTTTTTATTTTGCGAAACCGAAAACATATGCTGCTGAAACAGAACGAACTCGACCCATTCTTGAAGCGGATGGTAACTGGCGACGAAAAATGGATCAGATACGACAATATCAAGCGAAAACGGTCGTGAACGAAGGCCGGTGAATCGTTCCAAACAGTGGCCAAGCCGGGATTGACGGCCAGGAAGGTTTTGCTGTGTGTTTGGTGGGATTGGAAGGGAATCATCCACTATGAGCTGCTCCCATATGGTCAGACGCTTAATTCTAACATCTACTGCGAACAACTGGACCGCTTGAAGCAGGTGATCGACCAGAAGCGTCCAGAATTGGCCAACAGGAAGGGTGTAGTGTTCCACCAGGACAACGCCAGACCACACACTTCGTTGATGACTCGTCAGAAGCTACGGGAGCTCGGATGGAAGGTTTTATCGCATCCACCATATAGGCCGGACGTAGCGCCAAGTGATTACCAACTGTTCCTGTCCATGGCGAATGCCCTTGGTGGTGTGAAGTTGAACTCAAAAGAGGCTTGTGAAAAGTGGCTGTCCGAATTCTTCGCAAATAAGGACTGGGGTTTCTACGAGGAAGGTATTATGAAGTTGCCGTCTAGATGGGAACAGATCATCGAACAAAACGGCGCATATTTTAACTAAATCCGATCACTGTAACACTTTTTATAAAGCATTGAATGAAGAGCAAAAAAGCGGAAGGGAGATATTTGACAAGCTTATATTTGGTCTCTGGCGTTGACCTTCAGACGTAAATCAATTTTAGCTACATCTCTTAGGTCGTTCTTGATTCGTGGTAAGTACACCAAACGGGCGAAGCGGATTTCAAGAAATTTTCTAATTTTTCTTTTGTCATAAAGAACATTTTAAAGCTCAATTTTAAAACAAAAGTTTTGCATTAAATGCATTTTTTAATTATTTTTTATTAAACGAAAATTACATAATGAAAAATTTAGATTTTACTTTCTCTTCTTTTTATCGCCTTCACCCTCCTCGTCGTCCTTTAGCGAACAAGGCGGGCAGGAGTGCAGATAACCACCCTCTGCCATGCGCATAAAAGATTTCTCTGGATCGTAATTACTGCGAAAGAAAAAATTTTAGCAAATGACATTTATTCTAGGCTCAAGATCTTTTCGCACGCTACACGTGGCTACCTGTAAAAATCGCGATATTTCTTCTTCTTTGGCTTGTTATGCAACAAATGGAAAGCCATGGCGGCGAATAGAGCTGAACCGACTGCAACTGCCACATTCCTCAGTGCCATCTGACGGTGATTGTGCATCAGTTGTGGCGGCAGTTTCGGTGGTGGTTGACCTTTTGGTTTCGAAGCTGTTGACATTTTGCCTTGCTTGCGTGCTTTGGGCCTGAAATTACAAGAAAAAAAAAGAAGAAATTTAACAGCAGTGAAGCTTAAGTGGGATTAGTTAATCGCTGGCTATTTACAATATGAAAGTAAACCAATTCCTGCGTAGATTAATCATTTGCCTTTTTTCCTTCAAAAATTTATTAAATTTCAAATTTCTTGAAAGTAACGTCTTTCATAAAAAATTATAAATTGAAATAAATTTTTGAAGTTTTCTTTTACGTTTGATTCAGATTTGTTTCGACAGAATTCTGACTGATTTTCTTGCTTGAAGTAAGTTGACCCAGCGAGAAAATAAGAAAATATTTTTTGTATCCCTCAATAGGAACACGAACCAGTTTTGCGTCAATATTCCTTTTTCAAATTTCAATTTAATAAATGTAGCCGGAAAAGCTTTCTTAGGTATGCCCATGTTTGGAAGACCACTGGAGTACGAGGTGTGTTCAAAAAATATCGCGAATTTTGTGAATANAAAAAAAAAAAAAAAAAAAAAAAAAACGGTTTGAAGCAATTGAAGAGTCGGCTTTAGCCTTTGGGTGCCACTTGATTTAACGAGAAAAAGACTTTTGAATCGAATTTCCAACTGCGAATCGCTACAGCATCCTAACAAAATCGAGACAATGGAAGCAATAGCAATTTGTGATGAAAAATAGACCGCTTACAGCAAGGTCAAACGAAAGCGTTTGCGATCCCACTTAAATGGCCTCCAAACCAGTAAGAACGGCCAGGAAGATTTTATTTTATGTTTAGTGGGATTGGCAAGGCATCATCCACTTTGAGCTACTCTCTTACGCTCAAACTTTAAATTCAGACCTGTACAGGCAGCAATTGGACCGTCTTAAGGAAGGAATATCGCTCAAAAGCGCCCAGCCTCGACCAATAGCAGGGGAAATGTGTTTCATCAGAAGAACGCCGTAACACACACATCAATAGTAACGCGCCACAATCTCCGAGAGTTTGGATGGGTGGTTTCAATAAAACCAAATTATAGTCTGGACTGTGTTACTCTCTGTGGCGAATGATTTGGTTGACGAAAATGAAACAATTTTTTCGAATAGTTGATTTCTGGGCCATTTTCCGGTGAGAAGAGTAGTCTTTCAGTCTGTCTCAGCAAAAGGCCACCTATAGACTGAATTTGAATTAGCGCGAACCAAAAATACAATTTCTTCGAGAGAGTAGTCTTCCAGCCAAAGGCAACCTATAGACCGAGTTTAAAGTAACTCAAACCATTCTTGGAATAGGTCAGTCCCTGGTCCACTTACCGGCGAGAAGGGTAGTCTCCAGTTAGTTTAAGAAAAAGTCCTCCGAGCTTGGTGCTCTGAAAAAATGCATGTCGGCAATGTCTTTTTGACGTCGCGTTGAAGTTGCAAGTTGAATAAACTGAAGTTGCACAGTTTAGAAATCGGAGTCTAAGCTCGTTATAATTGTAAATATGTATATATATATGTCTTTGTATATATGTGTATATATATTTGTTGTTAACGTTTCGGTTATTAACTTTTGTTTTTGTTGTCAAGGTTACTTTTCAGGCTGCAGCAGCATTTTCGTTTACGCTATGCTTGTTATTGTATTTTGTGTTGCCTTCACTGTTGTTGCTTTTTTTTTTAGTTTTTTAGTTTAACTTGCCGTTGCACTGCAAAACTTTTCCACTACAATTTCCAGGCGAATTGTTTTCCGTAGCTGATTTTAGGCCACCACCGGCGTTGCATTAAGGCTTGAGGAGGTGAATGGCGCTGAGCTGAGCAGAGTTGAGCTGAGCTGAGTTAAGGTGACAACTGCAACAAAAATGCAACTGCACACTGTTGTACGGCAACAAAGTTGTGCCGTTGCAAGCTGCAACGGCAAGTTGCGGTAGCATCAACATCAAATCCACTTTCAGTTGTTGGACTTTTCGTTCTTTGCTTTGTTGAAAATTTCATTTGATTTTAAAGTTTCGGCTGATGCAGCTGATGTGTATATGTATCGTATGTATGTGTGAGGTGCGCAAGCAGTCACCACCATATTCTTCGCAGCAAACTTCATATGTCTGTATGTAAGCGTTTACCACAGCTTTTTTTTTTTTGGACTACTTCCAAGCGAAATGAAGCGAAAGAGATTTGTCGCTGCTGCTTTGGTATCTTTGGCTTATGAGAAAGGAGGCACAGTGAGTGCGCAGTGTTGCAAGAGGTAGTGTTGCCGCGATGCTTGTAGTCGACACTTCCAATTAGAATTCTACTAACTCACGCTTCCTCTCACTCTTCCTCTTCCTCCCCCTCTCTTTCTCCACCTCTCTCTGAGGTATCTCAACTCCACCCATACGCAGGCAGGTGTCCAATTTCAGGTGTTCATAGCTTGCTCGGTTGCCAAAACCGAAATCTTAACTTATGAACATTTACATATCTACACATATGAGTATCTAGAACCCCTTAGAGGATGCACATAAATTGACATTGCGGTTGTTGTGTGTCGTTAATGTGCGATAGGCATGAAAGTGAAAATACCTTCAAGTGGGAAAAATTATGTTATTGGTCTTTGTTATTGTTTGCGCAAGTGTTTACATGTAGATTCTATTTTCAGTTAATATTTCCTTAATAATTTAGGCCAATTTCTCACGGATCACAAGCGAATTCGGATCCTGATTAGGTGTATGAAGGTCAACTAGTGCGTTGTTAGACTTATAATGGGACTCAACTTCTTAGATCATCAAAACAAAGTTACAAGGGAACGATATCAGGGCGCAGTAAGAATTGGGCTGTCCCAGAGATAATTCTGTACCAACTCATGCTCATCCACATATGTCCCAATAGCTAAGACAGACGTTAATACAGTTAGTAACCGGTAAGTACATCGATTGTGTGGCTGATAGGGGTGGATCCGGCTTAGAAGGAGTTGAGACTTTATGCTCTTCTTTTCAATCAATAGTCAGAACTGTCTCTTTGCATTGTATGTGGTCTCACCTCAACAAATGCCACTGCTTCCACAGGCGAGAGCTGAACTTAGCAGATATTTTTGCGTTTAAAAGAAGTATGCTCACGTCGGGCACCTGATCTCATAGATCTTTCAGTTGTCTCAGATACCGCCTCTGCGTCCGTCGCGTAAACAGTCGAAGGCTTGTTTATAATTTTCCCTCATACTATAGTCACTTTTGAGGTGAAGTGATGGCACTGCAGGGACTTCTTTGAATGTCAGCTTGGTTGGTCACAGATTGTAATAGAATGAGTTTATATCAAAGAATAGAATCTCCATGGGGTGGATTTTATTATTATAGCTAGCTTTCTTGGAAAGAGGCTGCTGTGGTTGAGAAGTTTCTTTTTTATACTAAGTGAACTCTGCAGCACATCCTTGTATTGGGTTTTCAGCCGCCTACGAGGTGTGTAATGAGACTGATTATATTGCTGCAATTATGGCAACCCTGCAACCTTTAATTTCTTTTTCTCTCCCCCCGGCATCCTTCTTCTCTCCATAGATATATTTGCCATCACTCGAGCTTATTTAGTTCGCCTGCTGTGTCGTGTTGAGTAAACGTGGGTTCGTGGCGCTCGTTACGAAAATCGAAAAACAGAAAAATGAAATCAAAATTCAAAATTCAGCGCCAAATTGAGCTACTTGATCCCGTTATTACAGGCGATGAGAGCTAGTTTTTTCAATACGACCGGGAACCAAACGCTCTCTCTCAACATTGGCATCTCTCCGGCTGAGGTTTTTGCATTCACTCTCTGGTGGTGAATGAGAGCAAGACGAAATATCTTCTGTTATCAAAAAAAAAAAAAAAAAACAGTCATCGGCTCCCACCTTATTGTTGACAGTGAAAACTTTCAAATTCGTCTATCTTGGAACCAGTGGTAACACCAACAACACTGTCAACTTTGAAAGCGAAGAAACCTAACCTTTTTGGCTTGCATCTCAAGAGCTCAACAAATTTTTTCCATTAACCCTTTGTGCCACTACCCCCGCCAAGTATAGTCGCGTTCAACATTTGTTTGATGACTTAAGAATACGACTTTGCTTTCAGCTGAAGTAAATGCAAATTTCTGCAAGCCAAACAAATCCAAATGAAAAGTATTTGCCAAAAAATATGGCAAGTGCCATCAGCAAATCAAATAACTCGAACAAATTGAACAAACGCGCGAGTACAACTTTATAAAAATTCCTCTCAAAATGTTGACGACAAAACTTTATTTTAATCTACAAGCAATTTGCTACCCACCCAAAAGCCCAAATGAGATGAAAGCGCGAGAGAAGGGAAAGTGATGGCACAACAGGGACAGGGAGACAAGAAGAGCCAAAGAATTGCTAATAAACGAGTACATTGAAAGAAAGCATCAATGTGTTGTTATTTTATTTTCAACAAATGTGAAAAATCAATTTATTTTTCGCAAAAAAACCAAAAAAAAAAGAGAAAAGAAAAAAGAGCTCCAAATCAGATAAACAAAAATCAATATGATTTGTTATGGTTGCCAGCGGCAGCGACTCGACATACCGACGCCCCAATGGTTGTTGTTGTTGTTGTTGAATGCAACTATGATTTGTTATGGTTGCCAGCGGCAGCGACTCGACATACCGACGCCCCAATGGCTCATCTGATTAGTTATGCTAAAGCGGCGTGGGTGCAGCGCCAAGCTGTAACAAGTGTGTGGTAAACTGGGGAATGGCTGATAGACACCCGGCGGGCTGATACGGCACCCTAGGGGAAACGCCGTTGATCCGACTTTAAAGTTGTCAACAAATAAATTATTAAGAGATTAATCTTTAAGGCACAGCTAGCAGCTGTAGTTGGCAAAAGCAAAACAGTTAAATCAAAAAAAATTAAAGAAAAAAAAAAACAAAGAGTGCAAGAGAGTGAGGGGGCGAGTGAGTGGGAGGTAGTGGGTATTCATGCTGAGAATTTGTATAAAAACGTCGGAGGAAACTTTTTAAGACCACTTAAAAACTTCAGAAATTGTTTTTATAACTGCTTGCCGCTGTCGAAATACATGCACATAACAACAAACATACATAAGTGTATGTATGTATGAGCGTACATAAGCATGTGTAGGCGTTTTTGCTTGAAGGTCTCTAAAGTTTCACAAACATTTTTGACTTTTCAACTTTTTTTCAATAATTTATACTCATATATATAAATATCGACATACACATATATGCGCATATGCACTGTATATACGTGTATGCATGTTTGTGTATATTGACATACAAACGGGCAACATATTCGATGCTGTCAA